GTCAGCCCTTCACTGGGGATCTGTGTTCTCCCTCCAGATTCTCCAGCCCAAGCTGGAGAATCGGAGGAGCCGCAAACTAATGCAGGCCATAGATGAAAAAAACTCGGAAAAATTGTTGTTCAAGTGGCCGACGTTACCATCAATGGTAAAAAAAATTGGCCGATTTTCTACCCGTCTAGAGCCGGCAAAAAGTGTCCCTGTAGTGAGCTCTGCTATTTCTTTGACAGTTCTCTGACAGTTCCTTGACATTTATAGAAGTTGCAACAATGTATCTATTTGTTTCCATTTAGGATACAGATGTTTTTATTCGGAAACAAATAGATACAATGTTTCAACCGCTGTAAATGTCAAGGAACTTTCTGCGGAGAGAGACACTTTATGCTGGACTGGAATTCTTCTTATTTTCATCCTACTTCTTCTTCTTCATCCTCATCCTCTTCTTCTTCTTCTTCTTCATCCTCATCCTCATCCCTTCTTCTTCTTCTTCTTCTTCATCCTCATCCTCCCCTTCTTCTTCTTCTTCTTCATTCTTCTTCATCCTCATCCTCTTCTTCTTCTTCTTCTTCTTCATCCTCTTCTTCTTCTTCTTCTTCTTCTTCTTCATCCTCATCCTCTTCTTCTTCTTCTTCTTCATCCTCATCCTCTTCTTCTTCTCATCCTCTTCTTCTTCCTCATCCTCATACTCTTCTTCTTCATCATCCTCATCCTCTTCTTCATCATCATCCTCATCCTCTTCTTCTTCTTCATCATCCTCCTCCTCCTCCTCTTCTCTTCATCCTCATCCTCTTCTTCATCCTCATCCTCTTCTTCTTCATCATCATCATCCTCATCCTCTTCTTCTTCTCATCACCATCCTCATCCTCTTCTTCATCTTCTTCTTCTTCATCCTCTTCTTCTTCCTCATCCTCTTCTTCTTCCTCATCCTCATACTCTTCTTCTTCATCATCCTCATCCTCTTCTTCATCATCATCCTCATCCTCTTCTTCTTCATCATCCTCATCCTCCTCTTCTTCTTCTTCTTCTTCATCCTCATCCTCTTCTTCATCCTCATCCTCTTCTTCTTCATCATCCTCATCCTCATCCTCTTCTTCATCCTCATCCTCTTCTTCTTCATCATCATCCTCATCCTCTTCTTCTTCATCCTCTTCTTCTTCCTCTTCTTCTTTCTTCATCCTCTTCTTCATTGTCTTCCTCTTCTTCTTTTTCTTCTTTTTGTCTTCCTCTTGCAGGTCACTGCTCATGCGCAGATTTTTTATCGGTAAAAAATCGGCCGATTTGCCCACTAATTGCCGCGAAAATCGGCCGATCGGCAAAATCGGCCGATTTTTTTTTCCAACTTTACCGAAAAACAAAAACGGCCAAAATACCGAAAAATGGCCGACCAAATCGCCCACTAACGATCCGAAAATCGGCCGATTTTATTTTCGGCCGAAAAATCGGCCGATTTTCGACCCGTCTATGGCCTGCATAAGCAGAAATAATTTACTGCTGCTTAGTAAACGGTGTTTGACTGATCTCTTACTGTAATCTCACGAGATTATAGTAAAAGCAGCTGTTTTCCAGCGTTTGTAGATCGTTCTCCCTTCATTCAGAGAACTGATCTACACCGCTTCATAAAAGGCATTCACAGGAGAACTGTGTTCTCCGAGACTGCCAGAGAACTGAGCAGCGATCATTTACCACTGCTTCATAAAAGGACACCTTTGTTACATAGTAAATCTGGTTGAGAAAAGACATTAGTCCATCCAGTTAAAAAAAAAAAAAACCCACCACACACAAACACACACACAAAACCTCCATATACAATATCCTATACCCACAGTTGATCCAGAGGAAGGCAAACTTCCCCCCCCCACCAATACAATAAAGCATGAGCCAATTTGTTCCAGCAGGGGAAAAAATCCTTCCTGATCCTCCCAAGAGGCAATCAGATATTCCCTGGATCAACGTTACCTAAAATATTAGCATCCAGTTATATTATATGTATCTTGGAAAGAATCCGGGCCTTTTTATTTGTTTTGTTTTTTATTTCTGGTGTGAACACTGCATTCTGGTGCATTTTTTATGTTTGCCTGTGTTCCAGTACAGTCTTGTGCAGAAAAAAAATGCAGCATGTTCTTCTTTTTTCCTGCACTGGAATTGCACTGGAACTGTGCTGGTGTGAACTAGAGCCATTTGAATACATGGAAAACACTGTGCACACATTATTGAAGCAGAAAAAAAAAGCACACAAAAAAAACACACTGGACTGCATGTGGTGTGTACTGGCCCATAGACTGATTCAACAAACCAGAATAAATAGCAATGAGGATTTTACAACCAGTGACTATAAAAAGTATTCACCCCCACTTTAAAGTGTTCATGTTTTATTGGCATAGATAGAACAATGGTGGTTAAAGTGACATGAAACAATATCTTTATCTTTATCTAAAAATAATCTGCACACATCCACTACTTAATGGCACTGTAATGTATTTTTGTAGTGTATGATGATCTGCCTTGTGTACAACCAGCTATCCCATACATGGATCAAAATGTGGCCAGTGCGTGCTAAACTGGAAAACGCATGAACTTTAAACCATGTATGGCCAGGTTATAGGTGTACTGTAACTGCATGCATGTCTGTCTGCATTTTATGATTAGTGTTTTCTGACTATGTAAATGCTTTTCTGTGTACTATGATTTAGTCCTCATGCACACTGGATGTTTTTACAGCTGATCCATAACACACATAGACTGCAATCAACTCATTTGTTTAGAAAAACGGGAAAAACCCGCAAACCGGCATTTTTTGGACTTTTTTTTAGTCAGGGCCCCCCAACTGGCTTTTGACGGTTTCTACAGCCAGTAAATGTCAAGATGCATGGAGTGCAATAAGGCTCCAATACCTGATAGGAGGATAGATCCTGAACTGAAGGGGCCATCTACCTATTGGCATAGAAACTGGGTGGTGAGGACTGTATGCTTGTCAGGATTGGAGGCAAACTCGGCCAGTGAAAAAAACAGGATGAGTCACTTACCTTAAAGCTGTGCTCTGGAGAAATGAAAAAAAAGTCCCTTGCATTCAGATTGTCCCCACAATTCTGACCCACCATTGCAAAGGTTAAAAAATCCTGTCAGGAATGGACTGGCCAGCAATGGTGGGACTCACCTGCCTTATGGGCTGCAGTACCAGGGCTGGCCAGCGGGTGCTCCCAGCAATCAGAGACTCAACCTTGCAGCCAGCCAAACACCTGGAACTGATTATACTGGTGTATTTAAGGGATGGCCAGACCTGCAGACTCTGCCTTGGTGTGTGTTTCTCCTGGGCCCTGTATCCTGTTCCTGCTCCCTGTTCCTGTTCCTGTCTGATTCGTTGCTGACCCTGCTCTGATCCCTGGCTTTGTCTGACCATTCTCCTGCTCCTGATCCCTGGCTTTGTCTGACCATTCTCCTGCTTCTGATCCCTGGCTTTGTCTGACCATTCTCCTGCTCCTGATCCCTGGCTTTGTCTGACCATTCTCCTGCTCCTGATCCCTGGCTTTGTCTGACCATTCTCCTGCTTAACCCCATACGTTCTGACCTCCTGTTGATAATCCCGGCCTGCCTGACGACGCTTGCATTGTATGTACTGTTATCTGTGGGTGGTTTGGTTTGGTTCGTTTGCACTGTGTTATGTTTTAGTATTGCACTGCGTTTATGTATTGTTAGTGTTAATAAATTATATTTATAACATATCTGAAGCCTGCATTTCCCTGCGTCAGTCACATACCTCTGGTCATACCCTGGAGCCCTGACATTACACCAAGGCCAATCCTGACCAGAAGTGGCTGCACAGGGAAGCCATCTTGGTTTGTTGATGGGAAGGATGGATCTTGATGAGGTTGTGTATTTATATCTGCTAGTGTTTGATGACAGAGAGTATGCTTATCAAACTCTAAAGGAGTATCCCCGGGATGAACTGCTAGAATGTATACGGCTCGCTCATGTTCTGTCAGGTCAGGAACGCTGGAACGGGCAGGCAGGCCTATGGTACGGTCACGCTGCGACTGACGATAGCCACTACCCACAGACCGGAGTCCCTCAGGGCGCGGAGTCTAAGCCCCAGGCTACCCTTCACCAGGGCCCCTGATGGTGGGGATGGACTTGACGCAGCCTGAGACCAGGTCGCGGCCCCCGAGTGACCCCAGCTGCGATAACGACTGCCGCCAATGGCGTACAGCTGGTGGGAGCTAGATGGGAACACGAGTAGAGTAGTCAGACAAGCCGGGTCAATAACAACGAGCAGACAGTACTAGATGGTAGGCAAAGAATACTCAGGTCACGGACCGGGTTCAGCAACGGGAGGTCAGGTAAAGGGTTAACACAGAGAATAGTCTTGTCAAAGCCGAGTCGGTTACAAGGAGAGCAATAGGAACAACACAAGAGCTTGCAACAGGGCAACACACAGGACACAAGTGCAGAGCACACTTGCAGACAGCAGGTTTAAATGTGCTCAACCACACCCTTCTGAGGAGGAGCCGCAGAAGCCTGAAGGCATAAAGGTTCCCACCATGCTTTGCAGAAAACCAAGATGGATGCCAGCTCATGGAGATGCACAAGCTCTGAAGAAAGGTAGGACCTTGACATGTTCTAGTAGATCAGGGCACAGAATTCTCTGAGTTGCAGCCATTGATTCAGATTTGTGCGGAGTTGGTTTCATCTGGTACCCCCGAATGCAGGGATGAATTTTTGCCGCCATTTAGTGCCGACCAGGTAGAGTCCCTGGTATGGTTATTATAGGATGATGTGGATTGCTTCTTGGAGCATTATGCTGCATGTTCACCACAGATACTAAGAGATTGTATAAACGCAGTGCAGTCTTTGGTCAGACAGGCTTTGTGTAAGCTCAGCTTTGTTCAACCCATACTGCAGACATGGACAGATTTGTTGCACCCAGCCTCAGTCAGCCTACAAAAACCCAGTCCTGCTTCTAATCTATTTCCTCAAAGCTCTATTCCTGCATTCCCAACAGCTCCTCCTGCCCTGCTATCTACCGCATGTCAGTACCCTGTTCCCACTCGCTGCACCTATCCTGCCTTTAACCCTGTAAAAAAGCCCTCTGTACCAACTGCTCCCTCCTCTGTTCCATCCTCCAGCTCTTCTCTGTCTCCAGCTGCTCCATTCGTTTGCAGACATGCGTTTACTTGCAGTGCTCCAGTAGTTAAAACCAGAAAAAAGCGAAAATTCTTTCCAACCAATACCATCCTGCCAGTATCCAAACCGGTGAGCCTGCCGTCTGAGAACCTGCCTTCCGTGGTTCAGCCTGGTGCCTCGGCACCCGCACTTCAGCCTGAGGTCTGTACCCAGCCTGATGCCTGTACCCAGCCTGATGCCTGTACCCAGCCTGATGCCTCTATTCAGCCTGATGCCTCTCTTCAGCCTGATGCCTCTCTTCAGCCTGATGCCTCTCTTCAGCCTGATGCCTCTCTTCAGCCTGATGCCTCTAGCTGATGCCTGCCTGATGCCTCTACTCAGCCTGATGCCTGATGCCTCCACTCAGCCTGATGCCTCCACTCAGCCTGATGCCTCCACTCAGCCTGATGCCTCCACTCAGCCTGATTCCTCCACTCAGCCTGATGCCTCTACCCAGCATGATGAACTGATCCAGCCTATTAGGCCAGTTGACTTGATGCCCGCTGTTGATCCAGACGATCCGGTACCTGATCCGGTGCCCGCTGTCGTGCCAATTGACTCAGAGCCCGCTGTCGTACCTGGTGACTCGGTGCCCACTGCCTTGCCAGATGACGCGGTGCCCGCTGGTGAGCCAAATGACCTGATGCCTGGTGACCCAGTGCCCGCTGTCATACCTGGTGACCCGGTGCCCACTGCCTTGCCAGATGACGCGGTGCCCGCTGGCAAGCCAAATGACCTGATGCCTGGTGACCCAGTGCCCGCTGTCATGCCTGGTGACCCGATGCCTGCTGTCGAGCCAGACAATCCGGTACCTGATGACCCGGTGCCTGCTGTCGTGCCAATTGACTCAGAGCCCACTGTCGTGCCTGGTGACTTGGTGCCCACTGTCTTGCCAGATGACGCGTCTGACCCAGTGCCCGCTGTTGAGCCAAAATGACCTGATGCCTGGTGACCCGATGCCCGCTGTCCAGCCAGACGATCCAATGTCTGACCCAGTGCCCGCGGTCATACCAGTGGGGGCCTGGTGCCTGTCGCCCCGCCTGGGGGCCCGGTGCCTGTTGCCCCGCCCGGGGACTCGCCCGTCGTGCCTGTGGGACTCACCTGCCTTATGGGCTGCAGTACCAGGCCCGCGGGTGCTGTCCCCGCAATCAGAGACTCAACCTTGCAGCCAGCCAAACACCGGGAACTGATTATACTGGTGTATTTAAGGCCCGTCGCCCCGCCTGATGGCCAGACCTGCAGACTCTGCGTTGGTGTGTGTTTTCTCCTGGGTCCCTGTATCCTGTTCCTGCTCCCTGTTCCTGTTCCTGTCTGATTCGTTGCTGACCCCCGCCTGCTTCTGATCCCCTGGCTTTGTCTGACCATTCTCCTGCTCCTGATCCCTGGCTTTGTCTGACCATTCTCCTGCTCAAACTGATCCCTGGCTTTGTCTCCTGACCATTCTCCTGCTCCTGATCCCTGGCTTTGTCTGACCATTCTCCTGCTCCTGATCCCTGGCTTTGTCTGACCATTCTCCTGCTCCTGATCCCTGGCTTTGTCTGACCATTCTGCTCCTGATTAACCCCATACGTCCTGCTTAACCCCATCGTTCTGACCTCCTGTTGATAATCCCGGCCTGCCTGACGACGCTTGCATTGTATGTACTGTTATCTGTGGGTGGTTTGGTTTGGTTCGTTTGCACTGTGTTATGTTTTAGTATTGCACTGCGTTTATGTTTTGTTAGTGTTAATAAATTATATTTATAACATATCTGAAGCCTGCGTTTCCCTGCGTCAGTCACATACCTCTGGTCATACCCTGGAGCCCTGACAAATCCTTTAAACTTACCCAATCTTCCACATCCGCAGGGTTCTTCCAGGTGTAAGACTGTTCCCCACAGCCTCTTCTCCCCTATGCTCCAACAGTTGCAGGTCCTTTGATTTCATCAAGACCGATGCAGAGTCCAAAACTCTGCACTGAACATGAAGATGCCAAGGAACACTCCACTGCTGGAAAAGAGGAGAGGAGAGTTCTGGCTGTCGAGGAAGTGAAAGTCTGGTTAGGTAAAACTCCTGTTTCTGGACCCTTAAACAAAAATGAGCATTTAACCTTTTCAGTGCTGGGCAGCCCCACAGCAAGGGTGGATTTTTACTTTCCTTGCAGATCACCTTTAACACAATATAAAAGATAGGATAGGAAATAAAAAAGGATGTATAGCAGGAAATTGTTATGAGAAGTTTGTTAGACACTGACACCTGGGGGGAGATATACTAAAACTGGAACATGCATAATCTGGTGCAGCTATGCATGGTAGCCAATCAGCTTCCAACGTCAGCTTGTTCAAGTTAAGCTTTGGCAATATAACCTGATTGGTTACTGTGCAGATTTTTCAAGCACCAGTTTTAGTAAATCTCCCCCCATGTTCAACTTAGTCATGGAATTTAAATATTTCTGCATAGCACTTCTTATTTACTCATACTAAGTTACAATTGTATTGCAACATCTTTACAATAAAGAACATATATAACTGTGTTGTTACCTAGACACTATGATCAGCATTTTATCAGTTTATTCAAGTATGCAATGATGTATAAATACACCCGAGTTTTACAATAACTTATGTACTGTTTATGTTGGCAATTTTATTCTAGGCATCTACAAAGCTTGTGCTTGGTAATATTTCCTCTTATATCCCTGGAGCCCCCGTTCAGTTTCCTCTTGTGCTGAACTTTTCTTTCCATTAAATATACTCCCTCCAGTTCTTAGGTAAATCCTCTGGTAAATAGAACTCTGTTTCTATTGTTGACTATGTTATTACTTGGCCCACCTTTACAAGAATGTATAATATACACAGATGACTATCTCACCCAAACAAGCAGAAAAAAAAATCAATGTATACTAAATCAACACATTTATGGGTATTTTAGCTGCATGTTCACGGATGTAACTTAAATATGGGTATAAGGATCCATCTACCAAACAGAGTTCTTTCAGCCATACTGGAATCAAATGGTTTATGTCATCTTCTGATATCTCTTGAAGAGCCTAGTGTTCTGTGTCAAAAGCTGCTTTATGCATTGGCATACACACTTAGACCCTGGCTGTCCGGACAGTATGGTTACCTGCCGATTTGACACCATCCATAGGCAGCTTAAAGTGGAAGTTCCGGAAAAATCTAACTACAGCTAAACTTATTCCCACCCCGATTCTAAACCTAGTCTATCAAACCCTGCAAATAAAAGATCTGTATATGTACCCGTTTTGAAGCTGCTCTGGTCTGGTCACATGATCTCTCCAGCAGTGGCTTGTGTGTAGAGGAGAGATCAAACAATGGCTGGAAATGCCTGGGAGATGACATCACTCATAGGCTTACCATGGGGCATCCATTGTCAGCTACCCCTCCTCTACACTGAAACCACTACTGACAGCTGATCACAGGACTGGACCAGAGCGCCCTCAGAATAAGTATGTATACAGATCTTCACTTTGCAGGGTTAGATAGAATAGGTGAAGAATGGGGTGGGGGTAGGTTTAGCCTTAGGCTGGCCATACACTATACAATTTTCTGTCCAATTTCCTTTAGATTTACCTTCAACTATGTAGAGCAAAGGCCTGCCTAATTGGACACAACTGAAAGTGTTGTTTAGGATTGACCTCATATTATATGGTTTTTGGTAAATCTAAAGCAAAATTCTCAAGAAAATTGTATAATGTATGGCCAGCCTTAGTTAGATTTTGACTGGACTTCCATTTTAACTCTTCAATAAGACACAGAAGTTGAATTCAATGCAATTTTACTTCAGCTAATTGCAGTATAGAGGATATTTTTGTTCTTTTTGCGAGTCACAATCCTGCACAATGTCTTTTTGTCTCTTTTGGTCAATTGACCATGTCGACCGTGCTTATCAGACGGTGCTTTCCTGGAAACTGCATATGCCATCATAACTTTTGATACTGTACCTTGGGACCCAGCAAATAAATTGGCAACTTCAGTAACAGAGGCCCCAACAATTTGATGTTTTTGAAGCTCAGTAAGCTCTGACATACCCCTGTATTATTAGTAGCACACACAGTGAATGACAAAAGTGAGGATTCCCACTTGTTAGCTAGGTGTCTCATTACACAACGGAAGCAAAATAATGTTACATCACCTCTGCTTTCACTGCAAAACATGTCACTTTCACTCCTGCAAATAATGTAGTGTTTCCATTTTTTTTTTCTAACCCCTGAAGTGATGAGATCCTCCATCTAAATTAAATCTAAATTAACTTTTTGATGATATTCTAATTTATTGAGATGGACCTGTAGTTCTTAATTCAAATATTGTCCACATTGAAGTCTCACTCTACATGTAACAAATGCAGTGTCCTTAGTCTTTACAACGTATATTATGTGATAAATTAAAATCTGGAAGGAAGATTGGAAGCCCCTAAAGTGTAAAGATAAGTGGGGTTTTTCAAAGTAGATCATCAATAGAAGCCTTCTATGTTTCTTATATCTAATGGAAGAGTAGATTGTACACCCCTAAAAGCTGCTATGTTCAATGGTTACAAAACCTTGTTAGCATAAACAAGCGAGATCCTACATATCTCACAGAAAGTAACCTGCATCATAAGACTCTTCCAGGTTTAAAAAAGCTCTTATATTACATAGCATCAGCAGCAGGACAAAAATATCACTCCATTTTGTAATGCCGTTTCCAAAGGGAAAATGTTCATATATCACAGAAAGTAACCTGCGCTGTGGGACTCTTCTAAGTTTGCAATCATTCTTTTATTGCATATCAGCAGAACAAAATTACAGTCACTCCATCCTGGCTTGAGAAAAAAAATGGTTCTCAGTCCAAAACCTTACCAAAGAATGACATCTATTTTGTTCTGCTGCTGAAATGAAATTAAAAAGCACTTTGAAATTTGGAAAAATCCTACAGTGAAGGTTCCTTTCTGTCATACGGTATATGAGCATACAGTATTTTATTACAGGTTTGCTTCAAGGAATACAGTTTTCCTTAAAAAAGAACCCACCTTTACCCCAGGATCCTCCTCAAGTCCAACACCTAACAGTCTCCGCTTCAGTGAGATTTTGGCTGTGGGGCCAACTACAGGCAGCACAGCTGCAGCATCAAAAGATTTCCAGTATGGCCTGATCTTCCACTCAAGTGCACCACAATTTCCGTTCATTTCATTTCAATGAAGAAGTAACCCATTATCTATCTTAACAGTGGACAGCATATCCATTGAACTAAGAGATTACAACATGCTGGAAGAGAAGAGATAGAGCTGAAAGATTTTTGAAGTGGTGACTGTGCAGATCCAGCTTGGGGAAAGCAACTTTAAGGATACCGTTACTAAAAATAAAGATATCTTTTAATGCTCTAGTATCTACCAAATATAAAACATCATGTAAGGGTGGGCTGACCATTTCATGCCTCAAAATTCCACAGCACTTATGTTGATATCAAGTTGATAGAATGCTTGTAGGCTTAGACATATAAATGATACAGCTATGGCTATACAGATGAAACCTAAATGAAGACGTCCACAGAAGATTTATAGTAGATTAGTCACACTACTAAAATTGCTGTCATTTATTAACTAAGAGTAAAGGTGGATCGTTACAAAGATGCACCAAAGGGCTCCCAACAGGGTAAGCTGAACAAGTAGCATGTAGTACCAAATTACACATGATGCTCCCAATGAGTGTGATTACTCACTACTATGTGTTACCACATTATTACTGTAGTTCACAATATAGCCTACAATATAGCATAATGGCTAAGTGGTTAGCCCTTCTGCCTAGCAGCAAAAGGGTTGTTGGTTCAAATCCCAAACATGGTATTACCTGCCTGGAGTTTGCATGTCCCCCCTGTGCCAGTGTTGGTTTCTTCCCACACTCCAAAGACATGCTGGTAGATAAATTGGCCCCTATCTAAATTGGCCCTAGTATGTGTATGTATGAATGTAAGTTAGTGTCCTTAAATTCTATGCTCCCTGAGGGCAGGGACCG